TCATCAGGTTCCTTGTATGACACTTAACCCTCTCACTGCCAGCTCCATCCTGTGTACAGACAGTGGAGGCTGATTGTCAGCTCCTCTGCCTGGTGATATGGCCAGCAGCGTCCCAGCATGTCAGTGTTTACACACACCGATCTATATATAGCGCCCGCACAGACGTGGCCTCCTCCGTCTATAAATATTCTGTACAGCAGGCAAGTATAGACACATCCCTCCGCTGTGTACACACTGACCCCGATCAGCTGACATCTGACACTACAAACACTGATCAGCTGAGCACCGCAGGGAGCCCAGTGCCAACACCGACCACAGTGCCAACACTATACACCGATCACAGTGTCAACACTATACACCGATCACAGTGTCAACACTATACACCGATCACAGTGCCAACACTATACACCGATCACAGTGCCACCACTATACACCGATCAGTGTCAACACTATACTCTCAGGAGGCAGGTAGGAGGGGTAAAACTACCTCAGGAGGCAGGTAGGAGGGGTAAAACTACCTCAGGAGGCAGGTAGGAGGGGTAAAACTACCTCAGGAGGCAGGTAGGAGGGGTAACAGTACCTCAGGAGGCAGGTAGGTGGGGTAACATTACCTCAGGGGGAAGGTAGGGTGGGTTGTTGTGGCTCTTGTTGCCCCCGGCTCCGCCCCCCCGGTTCCTGCCCTTAACGGGTTTCTTGTTCCGAGCTCCGCTCTTCCCTCGCCCCCCGCCCCCTCCGAACAGCTCCAGCAGCCGCGGCTCCATCCTCTCCTCTGCCTCCCGCTACCCTCCGGCCGGGAACACCGAGCAGGCCCGGTCACACCCCCCGCCAATCACCGTTCTCCGCTCATAACAGGAATCCACCCACAGCCCAATCACAGATGCCATCGCTCTGCGCCACTCCCACCAACAGCACAGCGTTGGCTTGTTTGGATTTTCCAATAACTACGCCCACCCGAGTTTTGCCCCGCCCAGCTGGCTGGTGTTTTTATACACATCGCCGACAACCACGCCCACTGATCCCGAGCCACTCCCACACGCT